ATGCGTTTTTGCATTAAACCTGAAGCGGGTCATTAACTGTATGAACGATTACTTATTAACGCAAAATCTTCGCTAATCTTGCACAAAGGATATGGAAAATTTCTGTTAAGCGGTCAAAATGGCCAGGCTATTCAGTGAGCAATTTATCCGTCAAAATTTGACGTGAGTACTACGCACATTTGGGAGCTCGATTTGAAATCTTTAAGCTGGACATGGATGGGGAACATACTCTTAAAACTTCAGCCCCCAGCTCTAGTCTCCGAGTTAGCAATTTTCCGCCAAAACTTTTACGGCTCTTATGTCGGAACCATGCCCAAATGGAGGCCAAATTTGAGACTTTTAAACTATGCAGTCCTTTAAAATTCCAGCCTTCTAGTTTTTTGCGTTCCAGAGTTGGCAATTTTCCCGCCAAAACTTTCACATGCCCGCAAATGAGCCGCAGGTATGCGTGAAAGTTGATATTACGTTCCTGGGGTCGCAACTGGCCAAGAAACAAACTGACAAAATTCCAACACCATAGCTTATCCGACTGTCGAATAGAAATATCCGTATAGACGAACACACAACACAAACACACACACACACAACACAACACACACACACACACACACACAAGCACATACACAAACATACACACGTACACACACAGACAGGGTCATCACAATATATGTTTTTGCTGCCTGTAATGTACAGCAAAAATGCATGACAAGACAGCGGGATTGAGAACCGTTGTGCCGCCATCAGGCACTCAAGTGCGTTATTTGTCTTGTCAGACTTCTACAACAACTGGTAAGGAAGATAAAGCGTAGAATAAATAAGGGCGATTCAAAAAAAAAAAACTTACTGGCTCAATATTTCTGAAGAAGTGATCGGTATCTGCTTGCCAATCTGACTACTTCCAGTCTCATTCAGCTGTACAGTTTTCGAGAAAAAGCTTTCGGTCTGTGTTTGTGGAGAAGTGCTTATTGTACGACGGCTTTCATTAGTCTCCGATCGGCGAAGCAACGGCGGAGTAGTTCCTGAAAACCTCTTCTTTGTATTCGTCCAAATGCATTTTGCAAGAAAATCACTTTTTTCTAAGTCAGATCCAAATGAGTATCGTTCTTTTTTTGCGCTATAAATGAGCGTAAGCCTCTTTCCAGCCCATACAGTTGGTGCTACGCATCAACTTGAGAATGTATGCAAGCAAAGAATGTTAGGAACACTTTTTTCCCTTCAACTGATGGCTCAAATTTCACCTGTTGAAAGAACAGTAGGGCAAGAAGGCTGGAATTAGGTGTCATGTATAAGAAGACATTTCACGATGCAGTTTGTGTTTCATCCCCTAGCTGTAAACACAGACCGGAAATTTGTTTTATCATTGTGAATGTAATGGGCTGGCATACCTTGTCCCTTTTTAGGTGATTCTTTTGAAGCGTTGTGGACGACACGAAATGTAATGCTATCGTTGTAAGCATTTCGTGCAACATCTGTCCCGTCGCTAGCAACGCCTTTGTCGTTTCCACTAATCAGTTCGTTGTCAGCATCAATCAAATTCAACGGGATTGGCGATAAAGAAATGCGCTTTTCAGTGGCCACAATACGACTTCCTAAAAAAACTTGATATAACATAGATTTTTTACCGTACGAAATCCAATTCTGAACACGGCTTCTTCCGATTTTTCATATTTTTAACAAAAAACTGCTTCTCACAAAAATGACAATTAAGCGTGAAAAATTATTTGTGAAAAAAAAGAAACATTACGATCATTAGCACAAACGTTTTTTACCCACTCAACACAAATAATTCCGGCGATAGCTTGAATGTTTTTCCTATTTCACAATCAAAAGTAATTCGTGATTTTATGGATGCCAGGTAAACTGAGTACTACGGATTTTTATGATACCTACGGGATTTTGCATCTGTGATGGGAAAGTCGAAACGCCCATTTTCGAAGAAGTCGTTGTACTGGCTGCGAAAGACCTATAAGCGGTGCAAAATCCGTTTAATGGTTGTTTCATAAATGCGCAGGGAACTGAGCTCAAATCAATCGAGGAAGAGCAAAAAGAGTGAAAAGCGAGCATTGAGATGATAAGTAATGACCATCAGAAGCATAGGCTGATCCAGGGCGGCCTCCCAGGTAACACGCAGACTTTTGTACAGTAAAATGACTGCTACCTACCCCTCTGGGGAAGGGGGCGAAAGATCCCTGGATCCATCAATGATTCGAAGACCGATTACAGAAGTAGACGGTTCAAGTGGGGCGGCGGTCGAAGTGGGTTTAATTGATAAAAAAATTTTTTTTGCGGCCGTTAATAGGCCAAACCATAATTTCTGAAGTAAAGGCCAGTATGAACTGTGAAAAATACCGTGCGGCCGAAATCCTTAGATTTGGACTCAATCAAAATGAGATTCGAGGATCGTGCTCGTAACAAAGTATGGGTATCAGGACACTTATCTAACATTCTACAGAACTGAAAATTAAAATTCTTATTTGTCTTAAAAATTCGAAATAGCCGGCGTAGGGCTGTTTGTATTTCAGTTGAGAACTTCAGATTAACTTTTCTACGATATTTCAATTTAAGGCTATGGCGGCGTACCTGTTACCAATGAGACAACACTGTTCTCATCAGACGTCGACTTTCCTTGCTCGTCAGCGAACATAGCAGTCCCCATTTCATAATTTGTGCTTCCGGAACGTAAAAAACGAAACGGCGGCGAAAGTCTAAGACTGTACGCGGCGGAGACTTCGGGTCCGAACGATGCTGAATGTGGCGGCATGCTATTGCATGACGATTCTTCACACAGTGGACTAAAAAAAAAAATAAAAATCGCTTGACATGCTGAAGTTAATTTTTCCCGCAAAGAAAAAATTTAACAATTTAGAAAAAATGTTAATTTCATAACTCGGGGATCTGAGAAGCTAGAAGGCTGAAATCTTACAGGAATGTTCCCCGTTCAAGTAAGTGTTAATGCACTGAAACCCATCCCCCAAGTAAGCGTAGTACCCGCGTACGGGCCCACCAAAACGTAGCACAGCGAGAGGTGCAAGGCGCATTTACAAACTGCTTGTGAACGAGCGCAAATTATCGCCGTTAAGAAATTTGAACACGTCGGACAAAATAGAGGCATGAACGATACGGATGACGAGCCAGAGAATAAGGATGGGAATTAAAGCAATCCGAATTTATTACGTAGCAGAAATAATTTGCAAAAACGGTTAAAATTAAGGAGAGGAAAATTTTCTCCAGAAATTCAAAAGAAAACTAAACAAAAGTTTAGGCCAACAGTGGTAAAATGGAGGCAAACATACAGGAAGAAAGTGCAAAATTCTGCGAAATCTAGAAACAAAGTATTTTGAAGCTACTGTCTGCTTACCTTGTACGAAGATATTCTTCCAGCTGTCTACTCGTCTGGAACGAAGAATTGGGTCGGCTGTTCGGCGAAGAGCCAACTTTTGCGGATAGAGATACTGAATGACTTGAATGCCTTTCTGTGTATGGTGATCGACCACTGCTTATTGGTGTGGAATGCTTGAAGAAAATATTGTCATCGAAGCTTACTGAATGTCTGCTGCTGAAAATATGCCAAAAATACAACAACCGCTCGGACAACTCACGTACGGTTTCCACGGTTCAGGCACTAGTGGGATATTACCAATATCGGTCCTGGACTTTATACTTACAGCTGGTGTCCACTGTCTGTTCGATGTATGTGCGCCATCCCTACGGAGGACAATCCCACCACTCGTTTAATTCCTTATGAGTGTCAGTTATTAATACACAACGTCCATCAGCTGTCAGCAAAGTCAACAACATGCCCTGTTCATCATTCTTCAGCGTGGTTGCAGTGTATTTTTTTGCATATCGCCTATCTGAGGCACAAAGAGACACACCAAGCATCCTTCGTTCTTAGCTCCCCCGATCACGCACTGGGTGAGCGGTATTCGAGAAAACACAGTTGTATTGGAGAGATGGGCACGATTCTTCCAGTTCGACACCCTACAGATATCGGGATACTATGAAATTTGCGTCAACCGTCAGTCATTCTACGGGCAATAACGGGCCGGAGATTCTGGCCTTACAGATGTCGAGATTAGATTCTTGGTCAAAACAAACAGCGTTACCTTCCCTGAGTTAATCCCCGCTAATCTGTAATGTGATTGTAAATCCGACGAAACGAAATTCAGGACTGCAAGTACTAGGCTGGTCGCTCAATCACGCAGCATACAAAAGTTTAAAAGTTGCAGCTCTGCGGAAAAGGTGAAGTTTTGTTCCGACACATAACAGCCTTTGATTAAATTCTCAAATTAAGGTAATTTTTATATTAGCTATTACTGAGAGGAACCAGGTGGCAATAGTTTACCTGGTGAAAAATGATGTCCCAGACGAATCGGCGCTCAGATTTTGCGACAAATAACTCTGAGAAGATTGTCGTCGATCACCGTAATGTAAAGCTGAAAGCCACTGCGTAAGGAAATTACGATTTGCAGCATCAGGCGATGAGACATGCCGCGAGCTAGGGCTCGATCTCGGCTCAACGATACTACAGCGACCTGAACAAAAATGAATTTACAACAAAAATATTAAAAAGGAATGGAGCAAACCCGCTTCTTTTTCAGGCACGCCATTCCTCAAAACACTGTTACTTTTCATCCTTCCCTTCCTGCCCAAAATGAAGCTAGAAGACTGGAATTCTGAAGGGATGTTTCCTGGCAGTCTTGGCGGCCCGTCTGAAATTCTTTTAGCTAGAAGCATGTACAGGAAGAAACAGTGCCGTTAGCAACAAAAATCTGCCGGGAATAATGCAAAAAATACATCTTCACACGGGCTGTCACTTGTGATCCTGCATAAACTGTGCCAAAAACGGTACATTTTTCTCCTAATCCATTACTTGTTCAATTACGATATTTCTTTCAAGCCTTATCTCACCACCAACTTCAAGAGTTCGTAGTTTTGCATCAAGTTGCTACTATCTAACACTTTTTCGTAATCAACGTAGAGGAGAAAAGAAGGCCCAAATGTGATTTGTTCTGCTATATTTACTTCTAAATTCATTATGGCTCCTTCGGCCGTGGTTCATTGAGAAACCCTACTATTCGATCGGCAAAAAACCTCGTTAAGAGTTCGTGAACGTAAAAAAAAAAAACATCAATTTGTTCAGATTCATGCGTAGAAATTGTAACTGTAAAAAGAAATGAAGAAGCTTACTACGATCCGTGCGCAAAGAAGGCTGTCCGGATGTAAGCCGGGCACGATTTTTCGTAACGATAGAATAGGTAACTTTCACAGCTTCAATCAGACAGAGTAAGAAGTTGAGTAGAGAGATGAAAAGTGCCGTGATATCGATTACATAGGCTGTCGAATGTACCTTCTCAAGATGCATAAACAATGCAATGAATCCAGCAGGAATGGCGCAGTGGAGAACGAAAATCTGAAGCACATCGACAACAGACTTATTTGTTTGAAGGACAGCTATGTCGTTGAAAAAGTGATAAACCACAACCCGCCCACGCTTATCACTGTTCCTCTGAGGAAATAAAGGCATTCAAAAGCAGCTTCATCTGCTACTAGAAGTCAACAACTGGTAAGGCTTTTGAGGGATTTTTCTTGAGGTTTGTTCAGAAGCAAGCTGTTAAAGATTTCGACCTTACAAGCACCAGTATTGATTTACCATTAAAAAAACAACCAAAAAATAAAGTGTTTAAGCTAGGAAGCTGAAATCTGAGGCAGATGCCCCCTCCAGACTTAAATCTAGCCCCCAGAAAGTACACCTAGGTCTCATGTACGAGCACGTGAAAATCATTAACTCCAGTACTGAAAAAGCTAGAAAGCTGAAATTTTACAAGGATATTCTTCGCGGATGTGCAATTCGAGTATTTCATATTCAATTCCTATGTTCGCCTAGGTCTAACGTACGAACAAGTAGGATTTTCGGCGTGAAATTTTCCGACTAATTGACATATTGGCATGTCCAAAAAATTAATTCCAGCTAGAGCCACTGTCTCCCTACAGTTAAACTTTTGCTCCTGATAAATTCAAAAGACCAATACGATGGTATATGGTTACCACACTTCAAAATGTGTCAGATTACCTGCACAATTTAGTTATAACAAGGATAAAGTATCTGTACTCTATAATCAAGACGAATGCCTGTCTTTTGTGTTTTACTTGATGCTAACGTTTCTGGGATCAATCGCCTTAATTTAGCATTTCCTTGATGATCTTGGCAAATTGTTTTTTTTTGAACATTTGACATCTCAAACTATGAAAATTTTTTTTAAAATTTGACATCTCAAATTATGAAATTTTTTTTTTAACATTTTACGCCTCAAATTATGAAATCCTGCACTGTTTCAGCTAAAAAACACATTCCATCATTGCAGCTAACTGTTGCTCAAGTAACTCAAGCTATATTCACAACAATTACCTACATCAGCGATATCCTCTTTAGGCTATAACTGTTTCAGACACAGACTCAAAGATCTCCTAAACCGTTACTTATTAGAAAACAGTCCTTCAAGAGCAAACTGACGATAACCGGGGCCTACCCGCACAAGTTACAGTGCAGAAATAATACATGAAATCACCAGGGCATCATTTTATTTTTCATTTTGGTTCATAATCAAAAAATTTAAATCTTGAAAAGCTTACATCGAAGAGTAAACAGAGAACCGGTGCGCTCCAACTTGCAGTATTGCGCCAGCACCGTGACAATCTAAAAGTAAGCTGCAATAAACTTAAAAAGAAAAACATATATTAGAAAACAAAGAATTTCTTACAAAAAGCATCCGTTCCGTGCAATTTCGCTGATCTCAATAGATCTATTGCATTTAACTCAAAGTAATTTAAGAACAACAAAATAATTGGGAAAGACGAAAGAAAGAAATTTTGAAGACGGAAAGTGGACCAAACAGAAGGACATACACAGTTTTGCAAATTGAACATTTGATCTTATTGTCGCGACAATACATTGGTATTTTATGTAAATCCAGTCGATCTTACTTGCCCCTAATAAACAGGGGACCAGGAAAGCTAAGAAACTGAAATTGAAAGGGGATTTCCCACACTCGCGTGCGCTCCCGCAACCTAAATCTAGTCTCCGAAAAATAAGTTAAGGCTCCACGCACGAGCACGTAAAAGCCTTGGTGCAAAAATCAAAATTGAAAAAGCTAGGAAGCTGAAATTTTAGGTGGACATTCCCCGATTATGGTCGTCGAAGTCTGACGTACGAACAAGTGGGAATTTCGGTGCGAAATTTTCTGCCTCAGGGAAGGGCAAGACCGAGAGCTGAAAATCTAGCTGCGATGCTACCTCTCATGTAAAACCTTGTGGTTTCAAATTCAGTTTTCAGTATGTTTATGCCTCAAATTCGAAAACGCGAAAAAAAAATTTACAAAGGAAATTTCTAGTGCAGAAATAGGAAAAAGCAGAAAGCTAACAGATTAGAGGATGTTTTCTGTGCATGTGCGGTTCCAAAAATTTAAATCCAGCTCTAACAAACGTCTGCGTTTCATGCACGAGCACGTGAGAAAATTTCATAGTCAGATAAACATTTCAACAATTTCTGGGCACAACAGACTGTAAAGCAATAAATATTTTTAAGAGTAAATATCCCTGGATGGAACTGCGCAAAATGCATGATCGCACTGACTACTTTGGTGTGCATCGCTATTTATTCCAGAGCTTTAACCAATGCTGTATCGCCCACTAATACCTACGCGGACACGGAACATCCCCCTAAGATTTCAGCCTTCTAGCTTCTCAGATCCCGAGTTATGAATTAATGCTCAGGATGACTTTGGCGGGTACGTGAGGGAGAACGACGCTTACCCGGGGGTTGGGACTGTTCACAGTTCCAAAGAAACAAAGTAAAAATTTGGCCAGTTAGCAAAAATAAAAGTAATAGTGGCACAGAGAGCGATAGCAGCAGTAAAATTTTTTAAATCGGTGCTCACAATGTTAAAAAAGAACCTTGCTGAATCGGAAGCACGCTCCAGTGCCAGCGTTACGTCCATGTTGCTCGCAAGTTTCCCACTTCCACCCGATAGATTCATTCGTCTACGTTGCATCAGCTAAAAGTAACCAGATTCTGAAATACTTTGTGATTGCATGCAATTTTTCTCGGGAAAATAAGATTTTCTTGAATAGAAAGTTATAATAATAAAAAATGAAATGAAATGAAAAGGTAAGAAATGAAAATTAGAAAATTCGTGAAATTATGAATAATGGTAAGAATCGTACACATTTCATCAAGTCATATTTTTTTAGGTCCATTAAGTCGTATACATTTTTTACCATTACCACAATTGGACTTCGTCAGTACGACGACTGTGATAATTGAAGTTAATGAAAGTTAGGGTTAAATTAATAAAACTTAGCGTTAAATTAATAAAAATGAGGGACAGTAAGGTACCCAAAAAATCGGTGGCACTATGAACGTAGTTCTTCCTGCGATAACTAAAAACGACAGTATGCAAAAGCCTCGAGGAAACCCCTTTTAAATCTAATTTCAGTCTATTCTCTGCCTGAAGGTGTAGTAATTAGCATCACACAATTGAATAAAAGATGGTGCAGTTTATATTGCTCTGTGAAGCAATGCCACTGCATTCCATGATAATCCTGCGAGTGTTTCTTCTATGCGCGGACCAATCTTCTAGTCGATATTTCTATTGAAATACATCTCCCAACGAAGCCAAACGAAATCCGATCTGGGATTTTTCAAAAAAAAAAAAACAAGGAACGCGACTGAAAATCCCTTTAAATAAAGGTATCATTTCTTAAGTGCCAGTTACGCAACGCAAAGAAATCGCGCAAACGATCTATGTACAATCGGCACAAATCACGAGAAAGGGGTTGCCCTGACCTCATATCAGTTTATGTGACATCACTGCAAAATTGCAGTTTGAATTTAAATAAGTGCCAGTGATAATGAAAATAGTAATATAGTAATAATAATAGCAGTAGTAATAATGATAACGATAACAACAGTAATGACTATAATAATAATGACGATAATAATAATGTTCATAATAACGATAGCAATAATAATAACAGTAAAAATAATAATAATGGTAATAATAATAATAATAATAATGGTGATAATAATAATAATAATAATGTTAGTGATAATAATAAAAGTAGTAATAATAACAATAATAATAACAGAAGCACTAGCAACAACAAAAATAAAAACAGAAAAATAAAAACAATATAACAATAATTAAGGTTGCGATGTAATGGTAGCGATTAACACGCAGTTTCGTTTTAAGAATTTAGGAACAAAGAAGTTGAATTCTTTAAGTACAGCTCTCCCAATTTTCCCTCTGCCCACCATGCTTACAATGCTCACTCCACTGAACTATAGATCGCTAGTCCAAGCAAAAGCTGTCCCATCGATGCGCAATATCCGCTAAAAAGGACCACAAATCCGCAAAGTACATATACTTTTTGGAGTTGCCAATGGAAGAAATCCCAGGAGGATATCCCGCCACTGAGTATTTTCATGCAGCACTAAAAAACGCGAAATATGTGTTGTGCATATGAGAACTTCATTTGCAATAACAAAAATATTTGATGGCGCGCGAAAAACTTTACTTACAGAAACACATGTAAATTTTCAAATTGCTCCTACTAGTATTCACTATACTGTGATATGATAATATTAACTGTTCATCGAATCAGAAGAATGGAGAAATTGCTAGTTTGCATAAATGCGACCGAAAATGTGAAAATAAAGCGATACAGAACAATAGCTGATCCTCAAAGTACAAAGACGAACAATGCTACAATGCTTCATCTGTTGAATATACACAAAACTTTAGGGAATACAGAAACCCAACAGAAAAATGCCCCCCCCCCCTTCCCCAAGTTTTTGAATCTTTCGGTTTCTTTCCATTTTTATCATCAATTATCTTTCCAAATCGAAATTACTGAGAAGCATAACGATGAAATAAGAGTTGCTAAAATAAAAAAGTCAACTGTCGTTCTTAAAATTCACTGAAAATCCGGAACATTAAAAAGAGCAAGTTTTCCAAGTTCCTGCACCGCCTGTTCTTTTCCATTCCCAGACTGGACAACTCTTTTTTGTGCAAATCTCCTACTCGACTGACTATCACTCATCGGATTAATTTATCAGACTTTCCCCCCTCCCCGTCTCCTTCCTCTTTCCCCTCCCCCCTCTCCCTGCCCGTGGGGACTTGGCTGGCTCCAATAAATCATTCCAATCGAGAGATGCAGGCTCAGAAGTTAGCCTGGTTGGCTGCATGTTAGTCTGGTTGGCCCACCTCTCCGCTACGCAGCGCTAGTCCCTCAAAAAACACAACACCTAAGGCATGCTGCTACTGATCGAAGCATATTAAGAAAACAAACCGTACAGACAGCAGACTTCACAAAATGTGTACCATCCAACACTGCTATGCACAAGAAACAAATATCAACTCAAAAGCAGAACTATAAAGTAAAAAGAGCATGGCTAAACAAGTGTAAAGACAATTAAATGGAATAAAACTTCCAAGAAGTGCTTCAGAAATTTTAAAGATGCAAACAATGAATATCTCTGGTGAGAGGATTGGAAGAAGACGGGGGCCTGAAGTCTTCTTTGTGTTAACATATACAGTTTGTTTGGCGTTGCTGGCTTCAATAAATCATCCCGGTCGAGGGATGCAGGCATTCAGAAGTTGCTTGATTGGTTGCATCTACAACCAGCAACCATCCATTAATAGATTTTCGAAGAATTTCTGCATTAAGGGTCGCCTAGAAACATGCTGACGACAGAGAACCCGGGATTAATTTATTACGAAACGATATATATATATATATATAATGTATGTATGTATGTATGTATGTATGTATGTATGTATGTATGTATGTATATATACATATAAATAAATAGAAAGAAACAGGTCTAACCTTGAGAATAATGATCTTTTCTAGTCACTAAACTACTCAACCATGATTTTTTAGTTGTGGTAATATTCGAGATGAGATGGTAAATGTTCACGACAATAATATCTCAAAGCAACCAGTCTTGCTGATGTCCCTGCGTCGAAAGAATTGCTCAGCTGGTAATTCCTTCAGCGCAGGGACTGTCACCAGGATACCCACCAAGCAAACCAGCACTGGAAAAGCTACCAGCTGCGTAGCCGAAAAACGAAAAATGCTACGAGCTAAAAATAATCAAAGTAAAGTAAATCCCCAAAAACGACATTTGTAAATAAATTTGTACAGAGAGAGAATTTCTGTGATAACTCAAAAAATTCATACTACTCAGCTCAACTTTCTTCTGCGATGAATTATTTTCGTAATTCAAAAGATGAAAGACAAAATTCCAAGGTTGTAAATTCTGTACTACAAACAGTCAAAAAAAAAATAAAAAGCATATAATTCAAGAATATGCGAAACAAAAATATGAAATTTTTGCAGCATTTGTTGTAAAATATCTTCTTTCTTTTATTTATTATACCTCTTTCTTGCCCGCATACTAATATTTGCCATCAACACCTTCGTTCTTACGTACTAGGCGAATTTCGCAGGAAATGCAAAAGTGGCTATCACCTATTCACTGAATTAGAAAAAAGCTTAATCAATTTTAAATCAAAAGAAGTACTCGGGAGCCGACTGGATTCAGTACGAACGAAATGAAGCTTTCGCTTTTGTCCGTACTATATCCTAGCTTGCCAGTGAATTTCTCTTTCTTTCGCATATCTGTCTTGCAAATTAACCACATGGCTATTCAGAACATGGCGGATAGGAGGCTGTACTGATGATTCCCGCTCCTACACGCATGCACTGCTCGGTCAGTGTTTACAGCTAAGGAATGAAACACAGACAGACTGCATCGTCAAATGTCTTCTTATACATGACACTTAAGACCAATCCTTCTATTCTACTATTTCATGCACATGGGCAGTTGCATGCAGCCAACAACAGCAACCGGATGCGAGAACTGTCTCAATGGATCTATCTTCGGAGGGAGTGATCGACAAGAATGAGACGACCAGACAATAACTGTTATCAAGTATCAAGTTTGCTAGGGCTATCATTGTGGATACCCCATGTCAGTGATATTACTAGGATACTCCCTCACAAGTTGAGCAGCGCTTCAGCACAACTATGTCAGGCCTTTTGACCCTGGGTTGCTCGCCAAAATTTTTTTCGGGTAAGTTCATAACTCGGGGATATGAGAAGCTAGAATGCTTTTAGGATAATGTTCCCCATCCAAGTAGGTATTAATGCACTCAAACCCATTCTCCGGTTAAGCGTGGTACCAGCATACGGGTTCGCTATTTGTTTAACAGTTCATTAAAATCAACACACTAATCCGCTGTGCTAATATCTTGTTAAAAATAACGAACGAGACTCTATAATCATTCCTAGAAGTTCTAATTCAGATGAGTGCAGCGGTATCTGAAACCGAAAGATGGATGAAGGGGAGAAAAATCTGTATTTTTGAGAAAGCTAAAGATGAGGAAAAAGGCCTCATTGAACTAATAAGCGCAATACAATTCTTACTTTACAAAACAAGCAATATTGTAGAACATAACAAGATTATTCAGCTATAAAGTTATTTTACAATTTACGGTTCTACTGGCTGTCTCAAAGATACGGGTTTGACCCTCTTCCTTTTAAAATACAACCGTTAAGTATTTTTGGGGCATGGAAGCCTCA